AAACCCGTCATCGCTGCTATGCAGCTATATTTGAAATTGTTATCGTATTCATATTATTGACGTCGTTGCTAGTCATGTATTATTATATGTTATAATATTCTTGAGAGGGGAGGCATGTCGCATACGACTTACTTACCACTTCCGTGTCACTGAGAATGTTCTAGAACCGTACTGTGTCTGGGTGGAATATTCTAGATTTTTTGTAGAAACTGGTTGAATATGTAATAGAACACTGTAGGAGGCAATAGAAGGTAATGGAACATTCTAGAAATTTGTAGTAAGTTCCAGACTCATTATGTATGCTAATGTAATGGTCTATTTATAGACAATGGGGGTATATATAGGGGAGTTGTTCAGCACCGAGTTCAGATCGGAGATCTCGTTGAATTGTATTGGAGTTTAAGTATCTAGTTATTGGAATGGTGGAGTTTTACCGCGTTATTGTACTTGATGTTTGCAGAGTATAATAATACCAGTACCAGTTGAAACCTCATCTGTTGGCTCCGTGTTCGTATGTTATCATGTTACTGTTGCCATTTTGATATTTGAACCATCACACCTGTACTATACTACGTTGCGTGTGACAATAATTAACTAAACCTATTTGCTAGAATATAGATAAAAATTATGACCTATTTTGTTACTGTCACAACTTCATAGTCTTACTTGCGGTTGTCATCTGGTTATCTTAAACATTTTCATAATTGTAAACCAGATTTGCTTGAAGATTGGTGTGCTTGTTGACCTTATTTAGATTCATTATATGGTAACTTCTAGTTTGTTTTTGTTTTTTGTGTCTTTCGATCATCTTAAAAACTGCTAATCAACAATCAACACAATTGGAACTATTTCGGGATAATTGGATTCGCTTAAAATGTGCTACTGTAGGGTAGTATTGTTCTTAATTTCCTCATTTCTGATATCAATACAAGATATTATCAGAAAAAAATCTAAAACGAACAAATAAAATATTTTTGTAAAAACAAACCATTACAGTAGCACATTTTAAGCGAATCCAATTATCCCGAAATAGTTCCATTTGTGTTAATTATTATCTTTGTACAGTGTATTGTCTCATTTGTATATTTTAAAAAACTTGTGACACAGAACTGTGCCGATCGTGCACCACAGATCACTAACCACAATTCTATCAAGGTCACCTTTATTTTAAAAACAACATTTTGCAAAAAGTGACGCAAATGTATTTAGTACTTTCATTATATGCGACGTCAATAACCTTGTATGCGTCAATACTGGTGGCGTACTTTGCATTATACAGGAGGAAAATCAAACGTTAAACCGAGTACTGATTTGGCCCATGGCATTCTCACTGGAAAAAGTGAAGGATTTACGTAAAAAATAGTTTCCATATTGCTTACAAATATATAAATATGTCGATGTTCATGACATTGCGTAAAATTATGCTTAAGTTGTATACATGTCACTTTTTTCTAAGCCAGAAATTGCGTACAAATGTTTTGGTCGCAAAGCCAGATCAATCGCAAGTTTTTAATAAATCTCCGATCCCCCTTCTTTTCAAGCAGTGCTAATACGAGAACTGCCCCTTTTGCGTAGGCAAGGTGTTAACACTGTTTATCTATTTTCGTAGAATACAGATTCGTGTATACGTTTTTGATTTCGCTATTAATTCAATTAAATTTGTCCAGAATATTTAACTGTGTTTTTATTGTAACATTTTTCAACTGCAAAAAGTATTTAGAGTCCCCCCCCCCAATTCTTGTCAATTAGCCCTTGAACGGATAATCTATGACATAAGTATTCGTTATAAAGTTCCTGTTTTATTTGTTCTTACTGCTACACTTCTTGATAAAATGAATTTGACGCGAGTTGGCTTTCTAGTGCTAATTCGAGTAAACATGTTTCCAGATCAGAAATTGTTTTGTCTCTTCACTGTATTTTATTGAATGTTGTTTTATTTTAAATTTGAGCTAGTCCCAAACAACGGATTTATCCGTAAAAACAGAACTTTATTTCAATGTAGTCTCCACCTCAGAGTAAACTAGTGTTAAGTTTCCAGAGCCATCATGACCATGAGTAGTAGTATTATATTGTATTAATAGACATATTGGAATGAAAAACGCAATGATTAATATTTGCTGTTCCCACAATATTTAGGATAGAGTCGCTGACTAAGAGAAAGTCGATTCTACTTTGAATAAATAAGTGATGGATTGCATGTGTTTCATGTACTCCCTTTTTGTTCAGGTATTTGTGAGATCGAGGCTTAGTGAATGTTTCAAATAAAAATGGTCACAGCACATTTAGTATTAAAATTAGTAACAGGATGCGCACCATATCGCCTTTCATACGACTTTTCCTATAGTTTCAGTTGATCTGCTGATGTGCGTTTCTTAGGGCATTTTCTTTTTGTAACCAGATATGTTTTAGTTTGTGTTACCCATACCCCACGTCTTTAATAAAATGATTTTATTTTCTGAATAATTCATAATGCACGTCAGGATAGGGAGAATATGACAAGTTTGTCACGTAGAGTTTTTCAAAACTTTCAGCCGTTAGCGTCAAATGTTCTCTCGTACACTCTCCCATTAATGTATAAGACGCTATCATAGCTGGTTGTACTAGTTTAAAATCCTCCTGAACTTGTTTGACATACGTATCCTTCCATCAACACTTTCATTCTCATAGGACATAAAGTAACTTTGCTATCATCGGACGTGGTCTGATACATTAGATTCTTAGTTGGAGTCATATGCGTTTTAGAGAACAGTTGCATCGTTGATATCAAACTTTTTAATTCAAGCGCGTTTTCCACTGTGGATTCTGGTAAACTATAGAACCTAGAATATCGGGCATTGGTGTAGAATAGGCGTCCGAAGTAATCTTTTGAAAATACAATTTTCATGATACAAATTGTACATACCAAATATTTAAACTTCGCAAGCTTAATAATTTGAAAAAAAACTATACTAAGATTGTCAAAACATGAAGAAAATGCCCCAAAAATCCAAATTGGCGAACTAGTAAACAAATGATTACCGTGATTCAATATGGCTGTACATTTCGTTGCGAACGAGTAAACAAACTATGATGTTTTGTTACTTTACGTTTTGATAATTAATTTGAATCAAGAATATTGTCATTTGCATGGAAGTAAAATATAGGGTAGATTGTCAACATTCAGTGTTCCATAACTTTCCCTAACCCCGACCTACTAATGTGTACCTAAAATGTGTCGTGTATTGAACAAACAACTAAACGAAGTAATTGTAAGAAGGCAGAAAAAAGTTCAACCTTATAGTTGAAATTTGTACGTGCAACACAGTCAAAAGCGATTCTTGAAAGTTAGAACCATATTTGTGTCCCGTGTAAAGTTTATACATCACGAAAATATTTGGTATGTACTTATTTATCAATAAGTTTATATTTTCGAGGGATTACTATGGAGCTCTATTCTACAACATGTATTGTTGAAGTTTCAGACTGGTCTCTTTGACGATACTCTTCTTTTCTTATTTCATTATTGTTCATGTTCACTGTCTGGCCTTGATATTCAAGTGCATGCTCCATCAAAGGTATGTCGACCGTAATCAGCATGTTTTCAAACAAAGTATGTCTCATAAATGGAAATGTACAAATGAGTGGGTCCAAATTAGATGATTATAATTCCACCTGGTCATGAAGAAAATAGAATTGCTCATGTGCACATTATAATTTGGGAGGACATGTGGACTTATTGGACGAGTCACGTGGACACATCGAATTGATCATGCAGATTGATTGAGGTAATCATGGAGACATTGGATTGTTCGTGTGGACAGATTGCATTAGTTATTTGGGAATACTGAATTGTTTGTGTAAACATTCGATTTATTATGTGGATATATTGGGCTATTATGTGGACATATTGGGTTTATTGTGTAGACACAGGATTTGCCATGTGGATACTTTGGATTTATTATGTAGACATTGGATTGGTCATGTACACAGATTGCATTGGTTATGTGGACATATTAGATTGATCATGTGGACACAGCAATTGGTCATGTGGACATATTAGATTGATCATGTTAA